CTGCCTGCCCGTCGCCGCTAAGGCCGGTGTCGTCTTCGTGCTTGTGTACGGTTAGTGCAGCCGGCAGTTCGACGAGGCAGAATAGGATTGCGTAGAGGTCTTCGTTTGCTCTCTCGTATGCGGCGAAGGTGGTGTCCGAGGGATCAGGCCTGCGCATTCCCTTGAGAAGTGGCATGATGTCCCTCCGAGTAACGCCGACGACTACACCCAATTTCTTCATCCAGTCGTTGAAGTCCTCTGGTTTCGTTCCATCGAACTTGGGGAGTCCTCTGATGACGTTGGCCAGGTTTGTGGATCCATCACTCCAGATGCTGCCTCCGCCTCCAGTTCCCGATTTTGCTTCCATTTCTGGTTTTATCCTGATGATCTCGTCTTGTACAACAGACTTTTTCAACGGCAGTAGCACGTGTTTGGCACGCTTCGACAACAGCAGCAAGTGTCGCTGAAAGAAAAGTTGAAAAAAAACGCGAGAGCAAAACAACGGGCAGTGCCAGGATTCAAAACCGCGCCCTCGAACTCGATGGTGAACCACAAAAATCCCCCGCAAAACATTTCGTGTCTTGGTTTCTCTGCCGGCCAGATTGGCACACTTCGACACCAGCTGCAAGTGTTGCAGAAAAAAAAGATCACAAAAAACACGAGAGTAAAAACAAAAGGGCACTGCCAGGATTCCAAACAGCGTCCGCAAACTCGATGGTGAACCAAAATAATCCTCCGCAGAATATTTTCGTGCTTTATTTTCTCTGCCGGCGAACAATGCGGGCGAGGGAGACGAAACAGGTGATGCACCGTACCAACACATGTCATTCACGAACATGGCCAAAGGATGCAAACGGCTTCTCCAACCAACTCACCGGCTTGTTTGTTGCTGCGGCCCAGCATTTGACGATGTTCCCGTGCATCGTGTTCGCCGCCGCCCTCGTTTCCTTGGCCGTGCGCTTGCTCTTTTTCTGTGCGGGCCTGGGAGTCTCCACCACCTGCGACCCACCAACGCCGGCTTCTCCGCCCGCCGCTGCCGACCGTGGTGCTCCGTCTCGCAAAAAGTCTGCAACTTTTGCATCTAGCTGCTCTCGGTAGTCTTCCGCCGTAAACATGCCGCTGGACAGTAAGTTGGCCATGCGCTGCACATGCGACCAGAACTTGTCATCGATGGGCTTGTTGGCCATCACGTACTTCTTGATGGAATCTTTGTGACTGCTCTCCTTGATGTAGCCAGCATCAACAAACTTCGACAACCTCTCGAGGTTGCCGATCGATGCATCTGAAAGCGGCATTGCCTTCCTTGTGCATGAAGAACGCGAGTTTTATTGTGAGCGGCGGCGGCGCTTCTGGGGGGTCCGCCGATGCGGTCTCAAGGAGATCATACCCTCCTGCGGTGGAAGAAGGCCCACGCCCATTGTATGCGCGTGGACGCCGTTTCTCATTTCCTGCGGCCAACCTTGAATCATCTGTTGCCTATGTCTAGGGAGTCGAAATTGTGCTGTTTCTTATCAGTCCGTTCTCATCACTCTCTGTCAAAGTAGCTCAATTTCTTAGGCGCTTTTTCTTAGGCAACCCAAAAATCTGGGCCTCGGTTTCTTACGAGGGTGTTTCTTACGAGTGGGCCGGCACTGTAGTCTACAACGGAAGAGCTAGCGATTACCAACGCAAGGTTGTGCGGGAAACACGAAATTTCACAATGTGAACTCGAAACCTCCTGAAGAGAGATGACATACACCATCATCCGTTATCGTCCTTCTCTGCCCCGACCGAGCCTACATACCTGCATGTATCTCTCGAAATTGGCCGTTCGCTCGCTCGCTTGACCACCACCGTCGCGGCCACTGTCTATTTGACTCCCTCCTCGTCCTGAACTGTGCCACCCAACTTTCGAGGACTGC